AAAGTTAGTGCTCACATCCTGAACCATTGGTGCGTTATTGAACTGACCAGGAGTAGAAGTCAAAGATTGTCCCATGTCAGACAAACGATCCCTAGATTTATTATCATTATTGGGGAGAATGGAATCACCCGATAACTTGAAACCAGGAGGATGGACCTTCTCAGATTTTGTTGAGCTGGTTGAAGCTGATGCTGATTGATGGAACTCATAAGACTCACGATTGATTTTGGGAAATAGACCATCCACGTAATTGTACTCCTTTTTCTTAGGGATCTCATTGTAAGTGGACCGATTCTTCCATAATGGGACAGGGGGGCAACTGATGACAATATTCATTTTTTGGCTTTGAAGGTCATCAACTTTGCTTTCGGTAGATTTGTTCTGCAGGTAAGTTTTATCTGTCCCTTTTATCTGGAAAGGATTAAGATCTGCAAAAAGGTTTTTAGACTCATCCTTAATACTCTGACTGTATGGGACCACATTGAGGTTCATCCTTTCACTGTCAACTGTAGGATTGGTCCCACGACCCCCTTTATAAAGTGAAGCTCCAATTACAGTAGAAGGAAGATGATCCAACTGATTAGGGGACATTTTGTTAGATATTATGGAAGTGACAACAGCAGAGTCACGACTTGGACCTGAGAATGAATATAAGTATTCTGTGTTTTTTGAACTTGATCCCCCTATCTGAGGGAAAACCGCCATTAATTGCAGAACTTTGGCTACTGCATTCACCATTTAATTTGGCTCTCGGGTGAACACCTCCAACATCATCAGAAAACTGAATAGTCAGGATTATGCTTAGTGATGGATTACATGACTTCAAAGTGGTATCCTTTGCACTGAAAATATCAGCAGTTATAAGTGTCCCAGGAGCTGCCATGAGATCAACCTAAAAATCCCTGAAGGCAATGAAACAAAACATCAGAACTGAAGAGGTCAGAGATTGATTCAAAAATAAGTACAAACTACTACCTTTCATCCTCCAGCTTTACCATGTTTACAGCATCATCCTCAACCCCAGTGTAACGACTGCCTTTTACGAGTCTATAAGGTAACTTTATATTATCAGCCAATACCTACATACAAGGGTGCCAAGAAAATAAATATAAAGCTGTTGGATAAATAGAAAGCTTAGCCTACATTTTGATCTAATATTTATTAGCTCAAAGAACGAGGCATGAAATTTTATTTTTCAGAAAGCCTTTAGTAGCATCTTTTAAATGTGAAGAATAACAGCATTAAAGAAGCAAACTTGATTTTAACAACCAATTTCTGATGAAATGGAAACCAAGTCTGTCAGATTGTTGCTATACAATGGATTACACCTCGGTAATCAAAACAATCAACAGAAAGTTCAAATCATGAGGTTTTAGAATGACAGCTGTAGAGACAGTGACAAAGGGCATAACTTCTAATAATAATATATCTCAAAAAATTCCTTCCTTTCATTTCTAATATTTCTCATTCCAAAAATACATAATTCTTCTTGATAATATTAAACTCTGCTCTGTAGTTCCATCAACCAATGTGATCACAGATTCTCAAGATACTTAAATCTTACCAAAAAAAAAAAAAGGAAGAAGGATCTTCCTCAAGATACAAACATGACTCTAAAAAGTAGACAGAGCCATATCTTTTCCTTTTCATGTTACATGAACTCACATTTAATAAGAGGTGTAGAAATGGTTAATATATTACAGTAACAGAAAGTTGGCCAGTGGAGACTAGAGCCACAAGTTTAAGTTTAAGAACTAACCTTGAAAGTCAACAAAAAACAAAATAACTAACCTTGAAAAGTAAAGCATGATGCCGAGACAATCCTATATTAATGGACCCAATAGGCAATAAACTTGTATGAAGAGATGTTCTCAATTCCATGCTCCTATCCATCCACCTTGCCAACATT